CTACTGCAAACTTGATTCAAATGAAAACTAATTCCCAAATACCTTCTTATATTTGAACTTTAGATCCAACTAATATCTTCAATGATTGTTATGAATAGTTGGATGGTCTTCCACTTTCAGATTTGGTCTCTTAATAATTTCCTTAACCTTCATCGCTAATGGAGGAGTTGTTGGGCAGCAATGGAGGGCTATTGGTCGGCAAAGGAAGGGGCAAAAGAACGAACATTCAACGATACCTCTTTGTGCCACCGCCAATGCTCGTTGAGTTGTTCGCCGTTAGCATCAAGTAATACGAATACGTTTGATTAGGGTTGGATATGGTAAGTAGGGTGTACTTATTAAAATTATATTTGTATCACAATTCATTATATCCTTTTTGGTCATTTTATATTAGGGTAAATTAGTCATTCAATAAATAGTTTAGTAATGGGGTGTACTCAGTTAATTTTAGGGTTCGTTTAGCAGCACTCAAAATTTAATGCTTTTTTTTTTTTACTTACGGTTTCTATAAGTTTTTTAGAAATAAAAGTATATATATTAAATCTTATAATCCACGCTAATTTATAACACCATTAACTAGCGGATCTAGCAAGGAGCCAGTGAAGGCCATTGCCCTCACTGCCTTTTCTCCACCATGAACTTACCTAGTAATTTTAAGTTGATTTGTTTGAGTGTGGGGCCAACATGTTTGATAAAATATCTCACATAAGAGCAATTCCAGTGGCCCCGGGCAAGGGGGGCCTAGGCCCAAAAAGGGCTTCCAGAGAACAAATGTTGCCATGGCTGTTGGTGGGCTCCACAACCTAGGCTGGCTCTCAAGCAAAACCAGCCCTTGCTCTAGCCTGGGCAAGGGGGGCCTAGGCCCAAAAAGGGCTTCCAGCGAACAAATGTTGCCATGGCTGTTGGTGGGCTCCACAACCTAGGTTGGCTCTCAAGCAAAACCAGCCCTTGCTCTAGCCTGGGTTTGCTGACGTCATCAACTCAATAAAATTTTAAAAAATCTTTAAATTTTTTTTAAAAATACTAAAAATTTCAGATTTAAAAAAAAAAAACTTAGTCATATTTTTCACTTCCCACACCAAAACTCTATACAAATTCCTCTCCTCATATCTCATATGAAAAATGGTTGCTATGACAATGGGTTGAAACACCACAAGCCTTTTGCAAGGGCTGCCACTATTCACGTGAATAGTAATAGCCCTTACCTCCCTTTGCCCTTTGCCATGACAAATGGGTGGAAGTGCTCTAAGGGGCTGAGGTAGGTATACAGGGGGAAGCATTTGTAGTCATATATTTAGAGCTTAGTTGTTAGAGGTCGTATACATTGATAAAAATGTATTTGACTAACATTATAATTATGATTGATAATATTGGTTTTTTTTTCCTTTGCTACTAATGAAAGCATTTGTAGTAATATATTTAGAGCATTGGTTTTTTTTTTTTCCTTTGCTACTAATGAAAGCATTTGTAGTAATATATTTAGAGCTTAATTTTGCCCCCAAAGAGAAAATTTTCTGAATCCGCCACTGTCCATTGACTAATTTTTAATAAGTTTTAACATAAAACAAATACATATTAAATGTAACCAAAAAATACATATTATCAAAATGAAAATATGTTCAACAACATAATTGAAACTATACACATTCAAGGTGTGCCCCTACGATCCTTGAGAGAATTAAAATATTTTGTTATTTCATCTGAATTGCACCGCCCCCTAGAGCTAGCTATTTGAAAAGGGTGGTATGATGGGAGTTAACATGAATATTGATGACAAAGTAAGGAAACATTGAGAGAAAATAGTAAAAGCTAGATAGTTAAAGTCATGAGTGTTTATTAAGGGATAATGTTTCTTAATTGAGCAAACAAATTAAATATACGATGATCATAAGCCTACAAAGTTGAGTGGACTACTAAGGGCCCGTTCGGTAACGTTTTCGGAGAATGTTTTCTTAGAATATTTTCAAAGAATGAAAACAAGAACACTAATTTGCATTTTCAAGAAATGAAAGTGCGTATGGTAGATTAATTAGAAAACATCTTCAAAAAACAAAAACAATGAAAACGTGTCTGGTAGTACAATTTGAAATAATAATATGCAAGTTATTTTTATGAAAACGTTTCCCATGAGAATGAAAACAACTTTTTTATGTTTTCTACAAATATACATCAAATTGTTTTCATTTTATGAAAACATTCTCAATGTTTTCTGTTTTTAGACCACCGAACGTGTTTTTGCCTCTTTTTTTTTCTCTGAAAATGAAAACAACCTCTTAAAACGTTACCGAATGGGCCCAGCCATTAGAGAAACAACAGATAAAAGAGTCACATTCAACATCAAGGGTCCTAATACCTTTAGCCCAAGCCATTTGCAAACCTCTAAGGAGACTCCATAACTCAGCCTCTGAAGGTGTTTACCCGTTTATGTTTGTTTCCTATGATGGTAGGGTAAAGTTCCCCATTAATTCGAAGACCATGGTTTGGTCAGCAAATTAACTTTCTTTATGTGTCGAGCGTGCCACTGTTAGCAATTTTGATTCTAACAGACTTGGGAATAAGAATAGCTTGCGCCCCAAGCTATTGACTTTGATCAAACGATTGTGAATTTGGGTGAGGAATATCTCCCAAGTAAGTTCTTTTCTATGCCTTAGACTGGTAAGGACTTCATACTTTTTCTCAACATAAAACTGGTAGTTCTGGCCAGAATAAATGATAACGATTGAACTGATTTCAGGCAGAACCCCTTTTTACAAGACTCAAAAAGGGAAAACTGACTATACAAAGATAAGAAGAGGACTGTGTTTCCATTTCTGTTTGGGTAGTTGCCTTTGTTCTGGACTGGACTGGGTGTGCCTGTGCTGGACTGGACTTCAAACAACTTCAACTGATGGGTTTTGGCTGCAAATCGATACCAAAGCTTGAGTTTGGCATAGCTTCAATCTATTTCAAGCCCTGGAAGGCTTTTGGATGGGCAGAACTGGGATTTCTCCAGTATGAAAGGGGCAGAAGTGGCTGGACTTGAGCTGGGGGTGTACTATAGTACCTGTGCTGCTTAGTCAGGGTTCTTCATAAATTTGTTGAGTTTTTCATATTTGAAAATACTCAAACTCTGCTAGTCTTGGCTTTTGCTGAACCAAATTTGTAACGAGAGAAATCTCGTTATTGTTGACTTATGAACTGGGATTCAACTCAGAAGTAGTGGTCTAATTGCCTCTGCTGGGAGAAAACAAGATGATTCTGCAAGCTTGTTGGAAAGCTTTTGGAGTACTTCAGACTCTGAGTCTGTTGGAACTTTGTTTTGGGATTCTGCGATCAAGTGACCATTTGAGTGTTTGTCTTTTGACTGAATTTTTTGGGTTGTTTTTGGTTGATTCCCTTTTTTCTGTTCACCCCCTCTTATATATATGAAATGTTCTTTGAGAGTGGGCGGCAAGTAATCAAAAGATCTTTTTAATTTTTAATTAAAACAAACAGGGTTCCATCTCATTTTCTGGCAAGAAA